AGTTTCAATCAATCGTTGAATTGATTGCTTTCTCGCCATTCAAATCGGGAACCAATGCTTTGGATAACATAAACAGTATATCTGAAGGTATAGTACACGAAGATCTGCACCTCTTTCTGGAGACCAATGTTCCGAAGTCTAGCAAAAAGGCGAAAGTGGTGTTAGGAGTGGCCGACTCTCGCATCGGGGCATCCATTCAAGAGGTGTTGGGCTATAGCTGTCAACACACAGAAGTGGTGCCGGAAGTGATTCGCGGCATTCGCTATAACTTTCATTCACTCATTAAAGGCCTATCACTGCAATCGGTGGGCTCTGCGGAGTGCAGTCTTGGCCGCAGTTATTCCCGCTCTAAGGTTAAGTTCAATGTGAACAGAGCTGATAACATGATTATACAATCCATTAGTCTTGTCGATCAACTCGACAAAGACATTAATACATTCTCTATGAGACTCAGAGAGTGGTATTCGTATCACTTCCCAGAACTCGTTAAGATTGTTAACGATAACTATTTGTACGCAAAAGTGGCTAAAGTTGTCAAAAACAGAAAGGATTCCATGGATAACGACGAAGAGCTGACCGAGAAGTTGGAACAGATTCTGATGGACAGCGGCAAAGCCCAGGCCATTGTTCACGCTTCCAAGTCATCGATGGGAATGGATATCTCAGAAATCGATTTAATTAATATCGAAATGTTTACCTCAAAAGTCATCTCTTTAGCCGAGTATAGGAAACAATTGATGGAGTATTTGATGTCTCGCATGCATAACATCGCTCCCAATTTGGCCACTCTTATCGGCGAAACAGTGAGTCATGACTAGCTATTAGCCATTTGATGGTCTTATTGTAACCATTTGTACTGAATTGATAGGTCGGCGCTCGACTCATATCACACGCGGGAAGTCTAATGAATTTAGCGAAATATCCGGCCTCTACTGTCCAGATATTGGGCGCTGAAAAGGCTTTGTTCAGAGCGTTGAAGACCAAAGGAAATACTCCCAAATATGGTCTCATATTTCACTCGACTTTCATCGGACGCGCGGGCGCTAAGAATAAGGGAAGAATTTCCCGATTTTTGGCCAATAAGTGCTCAATCGCTGCGCGAATCGATTGTTTCAATGACTTCCCGACCGATATATTTGGATCGAAACTGAAAGAACAGGTTGAGGACAGACTCAAGTTCTTCGAGAGCGGAGATA